GCCCACTTGTTGGTTCCAAATTGTTGTTTTGAACATGAGAAAGTTGGGAAAGGAAGGGCTGACTCATATCCCATGCGACCTTCTCAAGCAGACAGTGAACAACACATCCACCTACAGCGTGATCCAGCTCCTCTCAGTGATTTCTTGGCTATGGTTATTCAGTGGCTCATTTGTGATTGACAGAGAGGCCTGACCATGAGCAGATGTGACTGCTTCTAAAAACAAAAGGGGCTCTCCAGGCAAAAATATCTGGGAATCATGAAAATAATGCTTATTGACCAACCTTCTGAGATAGGAGGGACTTAAAATTTAATCCAACCTAGCATCTTCTAACATTGTTCCTGAAGGTCAAGAATCTACCTTTATGTGTATGTTAGGGATCAGGCAGTGGGGGCTCAGGTGCCTGACCCTGCTCCTTCTCTTTCTGTTAACTGGATGGAACACATCCACTTTTCTGATTTACACACTGGGCTTTTCTGGCAAAGTCTCGGTGTATGAAAGGGTTCTAGTAACTAAAAATACTGTGTTTGAAACACACTCATCTAATGTAACCACCATACTTCAAAGAGTGAAGAGATTTAGACCCAGGGAGGCAAAGGTCATGGGCAGTGTGATAAAGACCCCAGATCTTCCGGTTAACACCTTCACGATGCCCCCATTTGTATGTTTCACTGCTGGGCAGCTTGCACCACCAGTGGTACATGCACAGCTGTCCCCTGTGTAACTGTAGCACTTCTACCACCAGTGGCACAAGCCACCCAGTGGGACAATCATGCATGTACCACTGGTGGTTGAGGCTGGCAGGAACACGTTAACCCAACATTCACTCAGACATCAATCGCCCTTTACTGACAAGCAGCGGACTTTGGCTTCATGAAATACTCCTGCCTTTTTGTCCATCATTGCCCTTGTTCTCCCTGCTAAGGAAGTGATCTAATAGTTTTCAGTTTTGGACCCAGCTCTACTACTGTACCTGCCCACTTGTTAACTTAAACTTCCTGTACATGGACGGTGGCCAATCCCAAAGGAGTCTTGCCAAGGCCTCTTATTAACTCCAAATCCTCTGCCTTTCCACATCACACGAACTGACATCGACTTTGGTGGCCCTTGTACCTGCCAGAACACCCCCATCAGCCCAAGATGTAACTGACAAAAATCAACTAAGTGCCCTTAGTACAATGGCCCTGATTCAGGGTGATTACTGATGCCAGTGATAAGTTCAGGGATGACCAGATAGAGATGCACAAAATAAACAATAAGACACATGTTAACATCCTCACATAGACTTTCCCAAGAGTTCTCAGTAGTTACATGAACATTCAAATAGTCACGGACAGTCCCTGTAACTTTCCCTATTTCTTCTTTGGTCAAATATGGAGTATCAGGACTATCATATTGTCACAGAGGTTACCAATTTATGAACAGTAAAAACTTTAGACTCATTCCCGAGTGCTGCCACTAAATCGTGCTTGTTTGTGCAACCAAAAAGATCTTCCTCTTACAAACCACGTCACTGCAGTGTTTCCATAAATAGCAAGTTTCCTTAATGATTCAACACCACATATTTCTTTGTAGGAAAAAAATGCATTTTCAAAACCACAACTCCTGTAAAAAATAGATAAATTTTTAAAACGAGATACACTGAAAAAAATGCAAAAGTGAGTGAAAAGACAGAAGATAAAAATTTGATAGTTTTTCTAAAGTTGAGGCTCTTTTGAACTAAAGTTGTAGCACAGAAACTGCCCTGGCTTGTTCCTTTGCAAAGCAAGCGTCCTTCTAAACCCATGTGTGCAGAGTTCTGTTCGCCACAGCACTCAGTTCAGGTCAGGAGGTGGTCATTGCTTGCTATTAGCATCTGCCTCAAGGAATCTGGCAGGATCCAAGAAATCTCACAGCCCTAAAGGGCAGGGGAGGTGGAACAGGTAGATTCTGAGTCTCCTGAGAATTCTGGAACATTTACCATTCAGATCCTCAGTGACAACACCAGCCAGCAGGATGGGAACTGAGAAATGGACATGACCTGGGGCTACCTGGGTTGACCTCCTCAGTATATAGTCCCCTACCCCATACAAGCCCCAGATACTTTCTTCAACTCCAAAGGCCTGTTGTCCAGCAGCAAATGAAATCCTCTCTGAAGCACATCCAGGGAGCCCTGTTTTATCTGTTCCATGCGCTCCCCTTGTTTGGTGTCTCTGAGTCCGAGCCTGGCTCAACAAAGGTTTCATAAGCCTGTTGGGAGCCCCAGCGGAGTGGGGTGTGTCAGACCCCACGGCTCTGATGCCGTCAGTCAGGCTTCAGAAGCTGGGATACAACTAAGTTACCTAATATTTTCTTCTTCATTCTCTCTTCTTCATCTTCTACAAACAGAGCAGGCTCTAAAATGTGACCTACTTTCCCTTTCTTTGTGATTATGCAGAACTCACAAAGCTTTTTCTCCAGCCTGACTAATATTTTCAGTGACATGCTTTTCGTCTTTTGGAAAAGGGGAGTCTGCATCTGCCTGCCAGAACGTCTAAGTCTGGGGGAAACGACCAATGAGGACACGTGAGTTACAAAGATTTCACTCGGGGACTGTAAGAGACTTTGAGTGAGCACAAGAAAAACAAAACAAAACAAACAAAATCCAGATCTGACCCCTGGGAAGTAATCTGCGTTTAGTCTGGAAGTTTTCATCAACAAGAATGAAGATATCGATGAGCTAAATGCCTCCAAAGTTTCTCAAATCAGCCCAAGACCGATAACCATAGACTCTGTGGCCGGGGCCTGGACTCCCAAGCACACTCAGACACTTCCGAAGTCTGCATTTTGCATTAAAAATTAATTGATTTCTTCCAACTCTTCAGTGACTCAAAACACAATAGGGTTTTAAAGGATTGGGAGGAATGATTTAAAAATAAAAGATAAGCACCTAACGTGGGCAAAAACCCAGCTCTGGTAGTCAAAATTAAGTTGGTATTGACTTTTTCCCCCACTATTTTTCCTGTGGAGGATGTGTACTTTTTAACGTTTGATCGGTTGTCCTTTCCTGAAACTGAAGCTCCAAATGACAAGTGATAAATTAGGAAATATTTGTTGGTGATTTTAGAAACGTCACCGATGCCCAGAAACTGTGGCACTAGGAGTTTGATCCAAAGCTTCTCTTTTGGTCTGCAGCGAGGTGAAACAGAGCCTGCCAAATGTTTGCCAGGCTAGGAAACAGACTTGCAGCTTTGGGCTGCCACTGCGTTTGCTTCTATCCAGGTTAGTTCAGCTTCACGCCACATTCAGGCTGTCCGGTCAGCACTGACTTCAACACCGAGCCCCAGAGGGCTGGGAAATCACTGTATCAGAGTGGAGCAGCCACTCAGCATCTGTATCTGCCCTCAGCAACATGAGGGGCCCATCTCCTGCTTCCTGAGCATCACCTCCCATTTAAAGTTAATTCCATCCCCACCGCTGTTAAATGGTGCGATTCATTCACTCATTCTAAAAAGTGTTTACTGATACTTGGGGGAGCTGGAAAGCACTGTGCTCAGCACAGCCATGCAGAGGGGAACAAAGCAGAAAATGTCCCTGCCTGAGGGAATTTGTGAGAAGGACGATACAGACAAGGGTTTTGGTGCTGCCGGAAGGAAAGTAGAGGGTGCTATTTATTGGTTTTCTGCCTCTGTTTTCCCCTCTGTCTACGTGACATCACTCCAGTCCTCTGCTCTGGTCCCTGCTCGATAATCTGTGGTGTGACTGTGACATGAGGCAGGGGCCACTGAAGAGCTGCTCAGTTGTACCCTGTGACCCGGCACCAATCTGACCTCAACACTGCTGGTCCCAGTTCTAGTTCTGACTTGTCTATTTCAGCCTAGTCCTTTCAGTCGCATCTATTGGTGCCCTGATCCTTGAACTTATGACAGTAGTGTGTCGCAAGCCTCCTGCTGGATGTAACTTCCTTGAATTCCACCAGCCTTCGGAGACTGGTCGCAGCCGTTTGCATGAACCATGTGTACTATCACCAGCTTCAGGTCCCATCTGAGCCATTGGTGCCTCCCTGCCCTCATCCTCTTGCCAGTGGCTGGGCCTGGACTCTAGGTGTGGTGAGAGCCCCGGAAAGAAGAGCAGATTACCCAGAAGAGAAGGGTAGGGGTGGGGTTGGGAGACTTGTAAGGAAGAAGCTGTTCTAGAACAACAGTCTGGTGGTTCCTGATATATTACCTTGCCTTTGAAGAAGTCACAAAAAAATAATTGTCAGGAAATCTCTCAATTCAAGATCGGACAAAGCAAAAATACCTCACAGCATAAGGAAGCTAATGAATCCTCTTAAGAATACACATCAAGATAGCAAACAAGCCAGGAGCCATGTCCTTGAACTCAAGAAGATCCTGCATTAAAGAGTGAGGGGCTCTGAGAAAGGACAATTGAGCTAGCAGCCAGGCAACCCAGCTGCTTGATCTGGCCTGCACCAGCTGGCCAGGCAGTCGTGTGACCAGGGTCCATGGCTCTGGCTTCATCATCATTAATACTGCAGGTGACAAAGCCATTTGAAAACTTTAAATAGTCTTCATCTTATTTCAAGCTGATACACCGAAATTTTTTAAGGCATGCTCAAAATGGGCCATTTTCTCCAAAACTTCATCTTACAGCAGAGAACTGAATACAAGGCACCGAGGCATCTAGTTTGAAAGTTCACTAAAAGAATGAAGGTCTTGGGCTGCGGATTTAGCTCCGTGGCATAAGCGCCTGCCTGGCAGGCGTGAGGTCATGAGTTCAATACCAAAAAAAGAATGAAGGTCTTAGAACCAAGGAAAAAATGTGGATGGCAGCAAAACATTTTCTACCCAGTAAGTTCCAAGCGTTACTCTATTGAGTAAGGGTACCCAGTACTAGACATATTTGGGAATTATAAGATCTTCTTCAATCACCATTCCTATGGAAGTCTCTGGAAAGTCCTTGTTTTTTCTTTCTTTCTTTCTTTCTTTTTAAGTATAAGAAGTATCCAGCCAAAGCAAGCAGTCAAGATCTTAACTTACCGTTTTTTAGCTTGAGCAACAGCCCACTACTGGATTCACATTCAAAGTCTTGGCTCTCTCTGGTCTTTGGTTTCTACCCACTGATGCTTGGGTCACAGCAAAGGCAAGCAGCGAATTTCCCAGTCATTTCTGTTGGGGCTCCAGGACACTCAGCACACTGTCAACAAACCAACCAACAGTGAATTAAATCATGGCGATGTCCCCTACCTCAGAGATGCACCTCCACTTGCTCGGAGACTGCTTAGTGATAACTAATTGCATTTCAGCTCAGGATTCATAGCTTTTCCACACCCACTATTCCACAGAGTCACATTTCCCCAGGCTTTATTTTTCAGGGAATAGAATGTGAAGAAGAGGGCAAGAGAAACAAAGCCGTGGTGGGCTGGACATTTTTAAAAATTATCTTTATTATAAGTTAGATTACATCTTTGAAACCCTTCAGCTCAAAATGACGAGAAGTCCTTTTCCAGTGGTAGCTTTTGGATGCAAGGTTGGAGACTGAAGGCAAGTGTGGGCATGGCCTGTGTCCAGGGAGAGAGGAAAAGTGCCATCCAGGGACATGTAGATGGTCTCCATTCTGGGGCTCTCATAATCTGGTCACCAGCAGCAGTAGGGCAGGAAGGCCAGAGGTCCTTAGATGCAGCAGAGCAGACAGGGTATTGGGCATGCTTAGCAAAGAGGTACTAGGACAAAGAGCCATAAATGACTGACCAGAGAAAAACAGCTCAGTCTGCTCTCTTCCTCTGGACAGTTCTGAGGAAATGGTGGCCCTAGAAAACAGATGACTGAAGGAACATGTGAGGAAACATGGTGAGAGGCAGAACAGTTCAGAACATGACTCTGAGACGGCATCACGTGAGCACATCCACAGGAGCAGGTATCTTTCTAGAGGAAGATAAGGTTTCTTGAAGCAGATGTAAGTCCTTCCTACCATCAGATTCCATAACATTCCTAAAGATGAGGAAGACTATGCTTGTTGTTTGAATCTTTAATAGCTACAGGGGGAGCCTTGACTTGAGCTTGCCCTCTCCTGTGAATCTTTAAAAGATTCCAGGAGAATTGTTGGACGTCACGTCTAGAGGAAAAGAGAAAAACATACCCATGACCTTGATGCTCAGGGTTGTTGCTTGGCCCTGAAGGTTTGAGAGTTGAAAATAAAGACAAGGGGAGGTGGATGATGGAGGAAAACAAGAACCTGGTTTCCTGACTGTACAGAAAAACCATCACCCAAAGGCTCCAAATTAGTCTTAAGTCTTTAGAAAGGGAAGACTTTCCTTTATATTTTAGTTCTTTAAAATCAGTTTTTTAAAAAAAGAGGACAGAATCATGCTTCACTACTTGGTCATAAGAAATCCGACCATCAGGTGAATCCTGAAGCCAAAGGAACAAGCACTGGACAGGACTGTGCCAAAGCACCGGCTTCCAAGAGTCCACGGACTCCTCCCAGGCCTGGGGGCAGCAGGCACAAATGTTTGCCCTTCCGAAGCCAAGCCCACCCTCCTGGGTGTAAACTTTCTGGGCTCAGCTGTTTTGGTGCTAACTGCAGCCTGAGGTTGCTACAGTCAGTGTTCCAGCTCTTCACTGCTTTTATATGGATAATATGTTTTGTTTTAATAGAGGACTTCTTTTCCTCTATTTTCAAATTCTCGACAACTGCATGCAGGTGGCCATTCCAGCTTGAAGTCAGATACCCAGCTCAGATGCCGCTGCTTGAGCACTTGCCTGAGGCACAGGGTCTCCTGGCTGGCCTCTGGGTGTGTCACAGAGGACTGGTCAGTGTGTTGTTGTTGACCTGATGTCTCCATGGGGGCAAGGAGGGATGATGGTTTTCTATTTTTCCTCCTTCCGATATTACTCTTTCTTAGTCTCCACTTCTCAAGATTTCCTTGTTCCAAACTTCAAGTTATATTTAAGAACACACCCACGTCATCAAAATTTATATGAAGAATCTGCCAAAGGGATCCTTTTCTTCTGAGTTCTTCTCTCCAATGCAGCTCATAAACATCATTTGCCTTTTGTGGTCAGTTGTTGTTTTGTTGAGGTCCATGAGTTTCTCTATTTCTTTTTGGTCTGTTCTAATCAGGAAACCACACAGCCATTAAGGGCAGAGCTCAGTGGCTGAAGGAGACAGCATGTGGCATGGTAGGGACTGCCTAGGGAAGAGTTGTCCTCAGGAAGCATGTCAGCCTGTCAGCCTGGTACCAGAGCCCACCAGGACTACAGTCTGGGGAAGTGGGGCTGTCTGGGCTGGGGCCTGAGGGGATGATGGTTCTGGAAAGGTCCACCCTGACACGATTACACTCAGAGGCCCCAGCCTCCAACATGACACATAATGATATCTTAGCTACTGCCCCCAATTCTAATAACTCTCCTTTGGACAAAAAAGACATTTCTGTTTTCAAATAACCCTCTAAGCACTTTTTAAAAAATCACAATCTTAATTACCTGCTCTGCTGAGTTCCATCTTGACTTCAAGTCAAATTATTCCCAGTTTGTTCACCGAGGAGAGGAAGTGTGAGGGGGCAGAAAACAGGCTGAAAACAGCCTATAAATATAAATGCTAGGCCAGGTTTAAACAGCTGGCAAGAATACTCCAAGTGAGGAGGAAGTAAAGAGAGCAGATTGGATTAGCCCTGAAATTAAACACTCCATTTAAAATGTCCTCCTTCTCCAGTCCTGATATTATTTAATGGTTCCATCTGATCACCTCTGATTTGTTGCTGGTTGTTACACACAGCCAGCTATACTCAGTAGCTACCATGACACATGCCTTCCGTGGAAGTTGATGCGTAACTGTGAGCTGATTCCAGCATTGGACAGTCACACTAAAGAGACAGGAAGTGTTTTCTGGATTAAAATCTCCAGCCCGGGAGACAGGACACGAGGTTAGTCTTCACCACTGATCAATGCGGAAGCTTAAAGACTGATAGGGCTGCCCCTCCAAGAAGCAGCACTGTTCAGTTCTTACAGTAAGAGTTTGTTTTGGTTAAACAGATGTTGGCAGGAAACTGAACCCTCATGCACTGCTGGGCAGGGATAGAGCATGTAATATGGCACAACCACTGTGGAACAGTTTGATAATTCTTCAAGAAATTCAACATAAATTACTCTAAAACCTAGCAATTCCACTCTGGAGATTTTTACCCAAAAGCACAGAAAACAGTACATAAACAAAAACTTGTCTACCAAAGACCATGGCACAATATTCACAATAGCCAAGAGGTAGACAAAACCAAATATCCATAAACTGATGAATAGATAAATAAAATATGACAATCCACATAGTAAAGTATGATTTAATCATTAAAAAAAGAAAATAGATTCACTCTGAAAATATTAAACCCTAAGTAAAATACAGACATAAAAGGCCATGTGTGGTCTGATTACTACTGATAGGAAAGTCTTAGAAACAAAGAATAAATTAGTAGTTTCCAGGAACTTCAAGGAAGGGAAAGAGACAATGACTGGTAATAATTCCTTTGGGGATGATGAAAATGTTCTAGACCCATAATGTAGTTACTTTCTCATTGTTGGGACAAAATACCCAACAACCATAAGTTAAGGGAGGAAAGATTTATTTTTGGCTCACAGTTTGTAGAGGTTTCAGTCCATATTTGACTGGTCCCAAGGCAGGGCATCATGGCAGAAGGGCATAGTAGAGGAGAAAGAGCTCATGGCATGGCAGGCAGACAGCAGCAAGCCATCAAGAGAGAAGGAATACATATATACATAAGCCCTCCCAGGCCACGCCCACTGTGACCCACCCCTTTCAACCAGACTTCACCTCCTAACTTCTCATCCATCAACCCATCAGTGGACTAATCCAGTATCATACACCCATGATCCAGGCATCTCTCAAATGCCCCATCTGTAAGCACAACAGGTTTTTGGACAATATCTAGAAATAAGTTATAACATTCTACCTCTGGCCCTCAAAAGATTTATGAGCATATCTTCATGCAAAATGCATCTAGTCCATCTCTAAGAGTTGCCCAAGTTGCAACAGTTTCTGTGCTTGCTTCCTGTGTATATGTGTAGTATACACACAAATTTATAACAGTTTCAGTATTGCTGAAAAGTCCAAGTTCAAATTTTCTTTTGAGAGTTAAATCTTAGCTGAAAGGCCCTATAAAAATGAAAAGAAAGTTAAACACTTTCATCATATAATGGCACAAGAAAAACAAACATTTCTATTCCAAAATCTAGAGATAGGGGATGGAAAGGAATGGATCGAAAGTAAATCCAAACTCCATCAGGTATGGTGTCAGGTATGGTGGTGCATGCTTGTAATCCCAGTACCTGGGAGGCTGAGGCAGGAGGATTGTTGCAAGTCTGAGGCCAGTCTGGGCTACCCAGTGAGTTTAAACCCAGCCTGGGCTAGAATGACACCTGTCACAAGCAAGCAAACAAACAAACAACCAAGCTACCAAACAAACAGAAAAAAAAAAAAACCAGCAAGCCCCAAATCCACCAGGGCAAACATTAAACCTCATAGTTTCACATTCACCACCTACGGCAATCTATAGCAAGATATGAACCCCAAAGGGGTTGGGCAGCCACACTCCTATGGCACTGCTGATAGTTGTAATCCTCATTACCTCTCTCTTGGCCCAGCTTTGCTCATTTTTTTATGGCTTTTCTCAGAAAAATCCATGTTTCTGGCTTCTCCAAACTTCTGGGGTCTCCAGCGCTTCACATCAACAGCTTTGCACACTACCCTCTCAGGGGCACACCGCCTAGTCTCCCAGGCCTTCCTCTGAAACTTGGTTGGAAGCCTTCCCGACCCTAAAGCTCTTATATCTATATGCACCTTAAACTAGCGCCATCTGGATGGTGCCAAGCTTTGCTGCCAGCAGGAGCGTAGCCCAGCTGCCTTCTCATGTGGTTGTATGCTTTGAGTGTCTGGATTGCTGAGCACTCTGAACCCAGTCCAGAGGAACAAGTTCCCTAGGCTACATTTATTCTCGAACATGGTACCCTGGAATTTTCTTCTCAAAGCAAAGTCTTTCACCTTTGCAATTTTGAAACTGCAGAGTAGAGTTCTACTGTTTCTAGTGATGCCCTCAAGCCATCTTTGCTATTGTCTTGTTCCAAAGTGCTTGGCTGTTTAATGCTAATCTTTTCAAAAAGAAAATGCTCTCCTGTGTTCCATCTTTG